ATGGTTTTAATGTTTTTGTAAGTCGCTCAGAGTCCCCCATTGGGGGGAGATGGGCGGGGGGAGAAATTTGATAAAATAAATAAAAATAAATAAATAAAAAAGGCAGGCTCCGAGCCCCTCCCACGCAAAGCAGCAAAGCTAGGCTGCAGCGAAGCTGCCCCTCCCTTTGTGACAAGCTTGATTGCAACCCCATATTTTCCAACACATACAACAACCTAGAACACAAAGAAACTACATTATGGCCTAGTATGATAGATGCACCAAGCCATTATCCATACTTTCCACAATACCTTTTGCTCTTTTCCATTACGTGCTATCTTCCTCTTCCTCACAACCCACGGCTATATATAACTATATCAGAGGACAACAGTCCATGCATCTGATCAAGTGGAGTTCAATCCATGGCAGGTTATGCTAGTGGTAGGATAAAGAACTTTGAATGTTGCTGGCCAATGCTGGAACATTTAATTCATCAACATCTGGAGAAAATGGGTTCCCATTTTTGCCTTATATAACAAAACATTGGTTTTTTAGATGTCATACGATTCTGGCTATGTTCAAACCTCAGTTGAAAAATGCACACCCATGCTTCTCAGGGAAATGTGAAAGAACTTCAAGAAAAAGTTTCTTCTATTTTTTTTTGTGTGCTACCTGGTGGGAGGCCAATGTTCCCTACCTTACTACTGCATAGTATTGCATACACTCCAATCAGCTCCACATCTGAAAGAGAACCTGTAAGTATTTGGGCTGAAGAAGTAGTGATTGCCTTTATTGTTCATATCCTTTTAGGCACATTTCCCTTTCAAACATTACTTACTATATCAAATTAATTAACAGGACACAAAATACAAAGTACTTATATGCATACACACAGTAGGTATACATCAGCATTAATAATAATACAAATAAAGAAGAAAAGGAGAAAAAAAGAAGGCATGGAGAATTATATTATAAACAGAATAATTCCCCTCAAATTGGCCATGTTGCTTGCTTGCCCCTTTGTAAAACAACCACCCTAATTCAGTTGTTGGAAATGATAAATGTTAACAATCCATTGCTGCAAATTGTTTCCTTTTTGAATATGACAGTGTTTGCCTGGCGACACGGTACGGTTGTCCCACATCAAGCATCTGCCATATGGAGTCAGATTCTCAGGTTTAAACTTTGGCTGCTGTCACAGTTCTGTGCTAGGCTGTGCCAGGGTGGAAAAGATAAGAGTAGAAAAAATTGTTTAACTCCTTCTTGGACTTGGAGACTAAATCCTATTAAGAATGATTAAACAAACAGGGCGTGTTTAGCCTAAGGAAGAGAAGGCTAGACATGATAGCCGTCTTCGGATACAAAAAGGGCTGTAACAGGGAAGAGGGAGTAGCTTTAGTTTCATAGCTCCCCAGGGTAAGGCAAGAACCAACAGGTAGAAGCTTTAAATGGGGAGACCCAAACTTGAACTAAGGAGGAATTTCCTGACTGTGACAGCCATTATGCAACAGAGCAGCCGGCCTCCTGGAACTGTGGGTGCTCCGTCACTGGAGGCTTTCAAGGAAAGGGTGGGCAGCCATTAGTCCAGGAAGGTCTGAGGATTCCTGCCCTGGGCAGGGGTTTGGACTAAATGACCTCCAAGGTCCTTCCAACCCTAGGATCCTCCCCCCATCCTTTTTCCAATAATATTAACATGGCCAGCGGTACCAGGCAGAAAAGCAACTTAGGCTGCCCAGAGCAAGGTGCTGGCAGTTTTCAGGCTACCAGGCTTAGCTTTGAGTTCCACTATAAGAATAAAGGGTATCCAAAACAGGGAATATGCCATCCACTTGTAGCACACTTCTGAAAGGGTTCAGTAGGTAGCAAGTTCCAGGAAGAGAGCTAGTCTGGTGTAGTGGTTAAAGCATCACGCTAGGAGACCGTGAGTTCTAGTCCCACCTTAGGCATGAAAGCCGGCTCGGTGACCTTGGGCCAGTCACTCTCTCTCAGCCCTGGGAAGCGGGCAAGGGCAAACCACTTCTGGAAATGTTGCCAATCAGGCAGTCGCCAGGAGTCAACGGCACTCAAAGGCACCAAAAACAGCAACAAAAAAAAGGTCCAGGAAACATTCAGCTGCAGCCTTGACTGGAAATTGAGACAAGAGGACCACTGAGGATGCATGCCTAGGAATTTCCAAACAGAACTCATAGTTTTCCCAGGGGGGAAAAAACTGCTTCTGATTTTCTTCAAAAAATTACAGCAGCCTTATTGAACTCCTGTTGTTGCTGTCCCTAAAATCAGATGGAATTTGAAATCATTGTCAATCTGCAAATCATTCAGTCAGATTTACTAGGAGATTCAGAACACTTTCAGTTCACTTCCTGATTTAAGCAGATAATTTTGGGCTTCATGAAAGGGCAGGAAGTTCTTACTTACTGATCTTAATGGGCTTCTGTAATCAGAGATGAGCTGCAGCATTGTTTCAGCTTTCTTCCTGCTCATCTTAACCACAGGGGAAGACTAATATTGGCTGTTCACGGCAGGCAGTGACAAATCCTGTCCTGTCATCATTTTCCACGAAGGACCCTTAGCTGCATCACCACAATCTTTTGATGGGGTAACAATACCCTTCCTGACCCAGCTGGCTAACAAAATGTATGGGGGGGAGAAGAGAAAATCAATTTTGAGGACACTGATGAAATGAAGAGTCAACATATGCAATTTTGGGGTCCTTCCAAACAGCATGTGAAGTGGAATAAAGTATACACGCTTCGCTTCTATCACTAATCAAGCAGGAAAACCTGACTATTTTCTGGAATTCAAAGGGTTGGCGAAAATGCGGGCCGGGAATTAGCGTGTTCAAGGGGAAATCTTGGGGTTACCAGGGTATTCTGATGCTCATGTGAACTGCAAGGTAAGAAAGTGCATTACTCCCCCCGCCTCTGAAGAGTAATCTCGATAGAGCAATTTTGGGCTAGAAAGGAGCAAGGATTAATTAGCTTGTTTCCTCCAACTCTCAATTCCAGGAAGTCGGTAGAAATTAGAGCCTCAGTATACATCTCCAGAGAACAATTCTCTTCTCAGAAAGAGAAATATGGCTGTGCGTACTGGGGGTGGGGGGGAGCGTGCCGAAAGTCTGAAGAAATCCCAGCGCCTAAATACTTATCTCGGATTTAATGGCACATTCTCTTGCTGACGTCAGAATCGTGCCTCGGGCGAGAGACACGAGTGCTGGCTGGACCTCGGGTTGGCCCCGAACCGAGGGAGAAAGAACTCCCGCTCACAGCCCTAGCGGGTCCGAGTTAGGGGGGCAAGCAACGGCTTTCTAAGCAAAAGCAGGGCGCTTTTAAATCAGGTTGTCCCAGGCTACCTCCAGCAGAAGACAGGCAACGCAATGGGGACAGCCTGCGCTGTTCAGGAGGAGGAGGAGGCGGAGGAGGAGGGGAAACGACCTTGGCCCCGCCCGGCGGTTTGTGTCTCCGCCCGATTCCGTCGCGATTCTGCCTCCTCTCCTAGGAGCTTCCCGGCCAGGTATCTGCCAAGCGCTGAAGTGCTCGAGTCCGCCTCGACGGTAGTGGACGGGTGAGTCCTCGGGCGAGGGAGTGTCGATGGGGGCTGCCTGTCGGTGGGCGAGGCTGGCCGTAGCTGCGAGCGCACGTTGCTCTGGGCTTGCGTCTTCGCGACGAGGCTGGTTCTCTCTTTTAGAAGACTCTGACCTTAAAAGCTGTAAAACTTCTGTGCAAGAAAGAGAAAGAAGTTGGTGCCTTTCCACTTAAAAGGCTATCGCTTTCTCTGATTTATGGGTTTTCTTTGGTGAGGAAAAAGACGAAAGAAGCGGGGGGCAAAATCGAAGGGCGCGCAAATCGGAGGACGACGCTCCTCTACACCAGGCAGTTGCACCAGAAAAGCTTCCCAAAAGTGCCCAAGCCTGGTGAAGTTAACGAAGTCCCCGCTGCCCCTTGCCCGCCAAAGGGTGAAGTTTTCTACTCCGTCGCCTTTCTAGAGAAGACGGCGCCTGAGTAATCCCAGTCTGGCTTCCCTTCTGGTGGAACCCTTATTAGGGATCTTCAAGCGAGCGTCTTACTACCAGATCGCTCTTGCTCGTTTTACTGGATTCGGCGGGAGGGCTGTTGCGGCTATCTTTGCCTCCCACCATTTTTTCCTGTTTTTCAACAGGAAAAATAAACACTTAGGCTAGAAAGTGTAAAATCCTTTGATAAGTGGCATGAAGAGCCCTCCGATTAGATATTATTATTTATCAGAGTCACTGATTCAGTTCCTCACTTCTTCCAAACAGGGGAGGCTGAACTTTTACCAGTGCTGTCCATATATTCCATGTTTTAGCCTCATTGTTTAAGAGAGTTTTGTGTGCACGTGACAATCGATATTTGAAAATCATGTGGGATTTGGGAAATTGGATTGGGAGCCCTGCTGGCTGTCATTCAGGTGGCAAGTACAACAAGCCTGCTCTTTACTGCTTGGCATTCCCTTTACAGAAGTATGGATTACTGGCTGTGTTCTCTGATGATGTTTTGCTGTGATGTTGAATCTTTAGTTTTTAAAAGGTTGGTTATATAAGCAAAGTTTATGTAAGCTGTCTTAAGGTAGAAATATTTCATAAATACAAACAGCCTGTTTGCACTGATGAATATTCCATAGGTATGGCTTGTAAGGGACCCTGGTAGGTTGTGGCTTCCCAACACATATGTTTGTTTGGCAAATAGACACATGCTGCTATATAATGTGAGAAGAGGTAACCCCACTGCCCCAGCCCCAAGTTCTAACTCTTTGGTTCTGTACGGAAAGAAAACTGTTGAGTGATTCAGACTATATCAAGTGGAGAGTAAATTTCATGGCATTTAAAGTAAACATGTGTCAAGAAGAAATGAGAAATAAAGTCATCCGACCTTTTAGAAACATATGCCAATTTTAAATCTTTTGGGGGGGGGGAAATGACAATGAAAAATCTTTTCAATGAAGATATAGGTGTACCTAAGCACATTTGCATGCCAAAATTAATTTCTTATAACATTCTGCAGTACAGTGTGAAACTCATAATATATGCAAAGATGTGTACATTATGGAACAATATGCTAAATAGGACATTTTCATTTGGGAATATTGCTTGCAAAAAGTGCATGCAAAGGTGCATATGTTAAAAGTATACATGAAGTTGAATACAAATGTGTACATGTACTTTATTTGCCAAATTCATAAACAGTTGGACTAAATTGAACTCACAATAAGATGAAAATTCTGGTAAAATTGCAAGATCCTTTACTCTCTAATATGCATAGAATCTTACAATTAATGGAAATGTATCTAGAAAAAGAGTAAGAACTTAAAATATCTGCGTGTTCTATTTTTACCTTTCAGCAGCACTTGGGAATATATATTTACACAGGGGTGGAGATTCCCTCTCATGCACACATATATGTGCATGTTAACACAATGCATATTTATAAGTAATACCCTGGTTGTATTCGCACGAGACATTGACTTACAAACTAGCCAGTCACATTTTAGCCTAGTGCATTATCTGAACACCACCTAAGTGGTTAGTTATGGTTCAGCGTGACATGCAACCCTACAAAATAATTAACCTGCCCATGGATAGTAAGCATGTTGTACAAAGAGAATCTGTGCCAGGGATCCTGATTATTTATGAGCTATTTCTTAAAAGTCCATTTGCAAACATAAATATTGATAAAATGTTTGTAATTTTCAACCTACAACCTCCTCCTCCTCCTAGTGTAATTATCACTAAGAATAGAAGGACTATTTTTTAATAGTCCAAGAGATTTTTCACCCATGAGCTAGGCTTGCTAGCCCTAGATGGTAAGATAAAAATGATAGGATATAGGCTTATATATGAATGAGATGATACAAAGAATATGTTCAAGTAGAGGAGGTGAGTGTGACTATTAATTAAGATGGTGCTTAGAAAGGATTCGAAAAATGAAAATTAATTGATAGTTCAAGTGTCAGTGTTACCTGCAGGATCAGAGGCAGCATGAATATGAATGCTTATTGCTGGGAGGGAGAGGAGATTGTTGCCTTTATGGGATTCCCAAAAGCATCTGGTTGGCTGCTAGGGAATCAGGATGTTGGGCTGGAGAGGATCTTCCTATATTCCTAGACTAGGCAGATTTCAACCATTTAAAAATGAAAAACATCTGAACTTCAAATTTTCAAATAGCATTTACTGTCAGGATCTTTCACACTCACATGCTGCCTATTTTTCTCTCTCCCGGCCATGGTTCATGGACAGAGATAAATTCTCAGGAGGAAAACCTCAGCAGCCAGAGACGTATTCAGCGGCCCCACAGGCTGCTGGTTTTAGTAGCCTCAAAACTGTAAAAAATTCTCTGGTAATGAATTCAATTTCTATTGGTATAATCAAAGCTCTAGAGAAGCGCTAGATATAACAATAACCCCAAATTCCCAATGGCTTGCAACTATACTTTTTTTTCCTAATTAGAACATAAACCAAGTTTTCATTCTGCTCAACATACTAGCTTGTTATTTAAAAAAAATAAAATGCTTGAGATGCATGTAGAATAAGCTACAAGACTCAGCCATACCTCTTAATCCAGCTCTGCCTGTAGCTCAGATTCCTACCCTGAACAATGAACTAATATTCAGCCTATTAGTCCCTATTTAAACCAGTTTTTTTCCCTTTGTGCAATGAATACAAGAGGCCAGACCCTTTTCTCCTTTGATATACATCTCTATCTCAAGCTATCTCTGGACAGGTTGTATGACCTAGATTACTTTACAGTACTGTGCAAAAGTTTTAGGCAGGTGTGAAAAAATGCTGTAAAG